TGCTGAGTGTGGAGCCTGCTTAAGATTCATTCTCTCTCTCTCTCCGCCCCCACCCCACCCTCGACCCCGCGCCTCTCCCCGACTCGCACTCTCTCTCTAAAATAAAAACCCAAAACAACCAAGCCAGAAAGGAAGAGGCAGGCAGGCAGGCAGGGATGGGGAAGTGTACAGGAAACCCCCCAAATACCAAGAACTTCTCAAACGAAGGCTGCCCCATGCCAGCTCTCCTGCAAGCCTGAGTCCTCGGGACACCCCATGCACAGGCATCACAGGGGCTGCTGGCCAGGGAGGGGCTCTGGGAGGGCCCCTTCCTCCTCTCTGAGCCTGAGCACCTAGGCTTGAAAGCTGGCCAAAGAGGCTGGGGAGGATGTGGCCGTTAGGCATTCGAACCCCTGGGAAAGACCATAATTTTGCTCCCACTCCCAGAGGGAACAGAGGTGGGGTGAAAAGAGCCTGTCTCACTAAGCATCTTTAAATCCTTATCCCCAGAGGTAGAATCATTTTCATCCAGTACCTGAAACACAGTCTTCCAGTTCTTGTTATTACAGTAACTCCTGATAGCAGACCTTGCCCCTCCCACCCTCCAGGACCATCCGCTCTTGCAAGGGGACTGCAAAGTGCACGGGCAGTAACTGTGCAGATGACACTCACAGCCCCATGCTCACCCCTTGCTGTGTGAGCGGCTTCCCCACATACGCATCAGTACACAGGACAGGGTGGCCAGAGATGTTTACAGTGTGTGTGTGTGTGTGTGTGTGTGTGTGTGTCTGTGTGTGTGTGGCCTGGCTTGGGCCGCGTCCTCAAGTGGGGTCTGCGCCTTGGTCCCAGGGTCCAGGGCTGGGAGGGTCCCGAGGCCGCTCTGCAGCCAGCCCTCGTCTCAGTGTTTGATCTCAAGGATGGAGGGGTTGTGGTCCAGGATGGCAAGGATAATCTTGTCCATGTACTGCCTCAGCCGGAAGTTGATCTCCTCCTGCTCCTTCAGGGCTTCCATGAGCTGGGGGGAACGGGAGAGGCAGGTCAGAGGCCGGGCCCGGGCTGGAGTGCAGGTGGAACCCGGATCCCCAGCTTGTGGTGAGCCAGGGCCCGGCACAGAGGGGCTCGGGACACCTGGGCAAGGCAGGCCCCCAGACCAACCTCAGCACTTGGGTGCCAGAAACCAGCGAGAGCAGTGACAGCTCACAGTAAGGTGTGTGAGATATGCTGATGCCCAGGCCCCTCCCCCAGGGATTCTGATCCAACTGGTCTGTGGAGGGACCCAAGTATGAGCAACAGCTCGGTACAGGCTGAAAACACTGGCTAAAGGCATTTGCAATCAAGAATGACATCCGGAGTCCCAGGGCCCTAAGACTTGTAAGGCTTCTAGCTGTTTCCTCTACCTGAAACGGTCCCCTCATCACCCCGACGCTGCCATTGCCCCTGTGCAGGTCCATTCCCGATGTGTCCTTTAGGTCACTGAAATGCCACCTCTGCCCCCAGACTGGAGGCTGGTAACCAGCTCACCTGGGAGTCCCCCGAGGCTAGGGGTCAGCACTTAGCTCTGTGTCCTAAGCACAGGATAAAGGGTTCAGTGACTGTCTTATGATTCATGTTCAAATGTAACCAGGGTATTTTGGAGGCCTGATCTTTTAGAAGCACACCCTGGTGTGGGGTGGTGGGGCAGAACGGACTTTGGTTCTGGAGACCTGGGTCCTTCTCCCTCCACAAGTTGGGTGATCTTGTGTCCTAGCCTCCCAATCTGTAACATGGAAATGTCCAGGAAGCCTTTGAGTTGTCAGAAGATGAAGACACACTACAATCAGGTGCTCAAGAAACGCTACTGTCTTTCCCCTCTTGGCTTGAGGCAGAGGGGTTCTAGCTTCTCCTGCACTACGGGCTGACAGAGACATGTTGATCAGCCGGCCATTTTGGCATGTTTCTGGTAGAGCAAAGACTCAAACTCCACTCTGTTCCCAGAGCTTCCTCCCCAGCACATGCAGGAAGTCAGAACTGCTCTAACTCCCTCACTGCTCTGCACGGTCACTCAGGTGGCTGCAGACAGGGACCCTCACGGGCCCTGGTCTGCTTCCCCTGCTCGGGGTAGCCTGGGACTTCTCATCACAGCACACGGGTGCGGGACAGGACTTGCAGAGGAGCGGCCGAGGCTCCCAAGCAAGAATGAGAGGGCACATTACCTCATCACGAGAGGCCGTGTCTATTTCTGCGGCCAGAGACTGGGCTTTGGTCTGGGTGGCAAAGAGGTTCTTTGCTTCATAGAGGCTGAGGCTCAAGATCTGTCCATTCAAGTCATCATTCTGGTCCCGCAGCTTATGATTCTCCTGTGGAGTGGGACAAAGGCAACGTGAGCTGCCAGAAGCATCCAGAACCCAGCAGAACCCATTTCTTTGCATTCACGGTCTCCTGACTGCCACCGGGACCCTCCTCTCAGGTGTGTGTCAGGCCAGCTCAAAGACACCCATAGGTGATGTGGCCTCTGCCAGGCTTCGGGGGAAGGGCTGGGTCCTGGGAGGTCACGGGGTCCTGAGGAAGAGTTATGGGCCCACTCAGGGGAACAAAGTTTCCAGATAAGGGCAGGGCTCCTGGCCATGCTTTCCTCCCTGCGGTGAGTGAGCCAGAAGAGGAGCTCCTGATACTTTGGGGTCCCCGGGCTGCAAGGCTGGATCCAGTCTCCTCCTGTAGCGAGGTTCAGGAATCCTGCTCTGTGGGAACTCTTCCTGAGTACAGGTGGCCTCACAGGGCCCTGCCCAGACCCCACGTGCCAGTACCACGTGCTAGCTTTTGCCTAAAGTCTCCTAACTAACCGCACACCTGGGACTTGGTGCCCTCAAGCATGAGAAAGGGCTGGGGTTTTCGGATCGCTGTGGGATGCTGGTGAAGCCAGCAGGAGTAGACTTTCTAGAGCAGTTTCCCACCACCGAATGTCGGGCTGGGCTGAACAGGGGGCTTCACTCACCATCACACCCTCCCTTGGTCCCTGCCCCTCCTGATCCCACTTCCCCCAACTCCCCCATCATGGGAGTGCTCCCGGGAACCATTTGAAATGGAACCTTGGGATCCGGGTCTGCTTCTGGGAGGACCCAACACAGCAGACCCTCATCCATGGCTGGATAGTCTCCTCCTCCACTCCATCGGCAAGGACAGCAGAGTGGGGTCTGCTTCTTTGTGTGGACTCCAAGGAGAGACCCCGGGATCCGCATCAAGTGTGGCCTAGAGGTGAGCTGCCTTGCCTGAGCTGTGGGGTGGGGACGGGCAGCCCCACCGGGCAGGGACGTTGAGAGGAGCAGACAGGAAGGGGTGTGGGAAGGTGCCGCTGCAGCTTGGGGCCCCATGTGGGAGACCCGTCCGGCGGGGCCCACCTGCTTGAGCCGCTTGACCTCATGCTCCAGCTCCACCTCGCGGGCCCTGGCGTTGAACTCGCCCAGGCCAGAGGACGAGCTGCGTCCCCGGCCTGGCCGCTCGCAGTCCAGCTTGTACATCTGCAGGTGCTCTAGCTCCTTCCGCAAGTCCTCGATGAGCTGCGTGGGGGAGGGGCTGGTTGGCGGGAGCGCGGCCACGGGAGGGAGCCCCGGTGCCCGGTGCCCTCCGGCCTGGGACCCACCTCCTGCGTCGCCTCCCGTTCCTTTTGGAACTCAAGGCGGTTCTGCCGCAGCTTGTCCGTCACGCGCTTGTACAGGTCCGTCTCATCTTTGAGCCGCAGGCTGGTGTCCTCCAGCCGGTCACACATGCGCTGCCGCTCCTGGATCGGGGGACTGGGTCAGGGAGGACGGTGCCCAGAGAGGCTCACTACACCCCAGGGACGTCGGGGGGCTCTGGGTCAGCCACCTGGACAGGCGGGCAGTCCGACCAGCCCCCCTGAACACAACCCTCGAGTCACGGCTTAAAGAAACAGCCGGGTCCCTTAGGATTCTAGAAACACAGGCCTCTGAAGCCCTTCGATGGTGCCAGATGAAACCTGAATCAAAGGTGCGGCCAAACACAAGCTAACCTCCTTCTCTCTTTTTTATTATTACTTCCCCCCATTATATAAAAAATTATATTCGCTGTAAAAAAAGTTTGGAAAATCAGAAACATAGGAAGACAAATTACTATTCATATTTTATTTTGTTGTTGTTGTTGTTAGGGCAAACTAGCAACTAGAGGCCTTTGTGGCCAACACCGCCTCTGTGGCTTCAGCTCAAGATCGGAATCTGAGGGACACTCCTAGGCCTGCTGCTCACCTCATCCAGCTTCTCTGTTTGTGACTTGAGCCGGGTCACTGTTGTTCTGAGCTCGGTGTTTTCCTCCTCTAACTGCTGCACCCTGGGAAAAGGAGAAAGACAAACATGTCAGAAACGGAGGTTATCTTACAACGGATGGACAGTCTACAGCGATTCTCTGCTTCCTGGAAGAGGGAAGATACCAGAAAGCAAGAGAGAGAGAGAGAGAATATGACTAGTTGTTCCAGATGGGTAATACAGCTTCGAGCTTCCTGTCATCCAAGGCAAACTGGGAAGGACACCGAATTACCATCCTTCTGTTTGTGATAAAAGGAAACACTCATTTGTGAATAAGAACATAGGATTCTTTTTCACATGCGTCCTTACAGCCTGAAACAACACGGAGGACGTTTTTCTGCTAAACAAAGAGAAGGTCCTCCTGTGGCTGGTGGTGGCAGGTCCCTCCCGCTTGGAAAGCAATGACAGCGTTTGCTTTTCTTTCTCCCCCCAGCGTCTCTCCCAGGCTCTTCGCTCGGCCCTCCCCGCAGCTGCCTGTGACATCCACAGGTCATTGTCCTCTGTGTTAGTGCCCAGAGGGGGCTGTCCTAACAGGATCCCATGAGGAGACACAGCCCAGGTACCCAGGTCGTTTTAAATGACCTGAGAAGAGGGCAGGTGAGTTGGGCTGTCAGTGGCACCGGAACAGCACAGGGTCATTTCTGCCACCGATTCCTGCCGAACATTCCCTCTCCTTCACACTTGTTACTTCCTTCCTAGAGTGATGGCTCCATTGCTCTCTCTGCCAGGGGCCTAGGTAGCTTCCCAGTGGCCTCCCTGGCCTGGGCCATTAGGGAGGGCAGCCCTGGGACACCACAGTCTTCACCTGTGTGTACTGTTCTGATGTGCAGCAACCCACCTGCCTTCATGGTCATTCTGTGGGGCTGGGAGGGAGGACTGACAGATGGGGAAACTGAGGCCCAGAAAATGACACAGGATGTCCAAAGTCCTGGAGCTAAAGGGTAAGCAACCCAGATTCCCAGGTCAATACTCCTCTCCCTACCGGCCTCAGGTTCCAGCAGCTATACCTGCGGCCCAGAAGCCCAAAAGAAACCGGGCCCTGCTTTTCCATTTACGTTGGCCCCAGGGGCCCAGGGTCAGTGCACCCAGGTGTTCAAGGTCAAGGAGACTCTGACAGCAGGGGGAGCTCCGAGCCCGGACATTATACCCAACCCAGGAATAGGGGCAAGACCACAGTTTTTTAACCTATCCTCTTGTTGACAGACTTGTGAGCTGTCTCCAGTTGTACCTAGTAGAAATAATGCTACCAGAAGGTTCTTTTATATACTTCCCAGCAAGCATGTCCAGGTGTTCAGGTATCAAGAGGAGAACTGTTACAACAGGGGGCTTTTCTTCAGGCTGTTTTCCGATCCATACCACGGGGACGGTGCCTGTCCCATGGGCCTGGACCAGGAGTGGAGGGCGCCTCCGAGGCGGCCCCGTCCCCAGCAGGCGCCCACCTGGTGTTGAGCAGCTCGATCTCCGTGCTCTTCTCTCTCTCCAGCTTGCCGTAGGCCTCGCGGTGCCGCCGCGCCTCCTCCTCCAGGGCCTGCTCGGCCATGGTCTCCTGATCTTTCACCATCTCCTCCAGCTCGTGCACCCTGAGGAGACAGAGGGGCGCGCGCCCCAGTCCAGGGCCAGCTCTCTTGGTGTCTTCCCACCCCGCCCCCGCCCCTGGCTACGGGAGGCCCCGAGACCCTGGCTCCGTCGTAGCCCTGCTGCGGGAAGTGGCGATGTGTTTGCCAGACCTGTGGGTCAGCAGCTTCCCTGACAGATGAATGCGGATGCCACAGCACGTAAGGAGACGCACGCCACGGGGCGAGGGTGGGGAGGGGGGCGCCTGGCGGTCGGCCCAGAGGGGAGCGAGGCTGCACAGAGAAGGCGGCATTCCCAGCCAGGCGCGGGGAGGGACGGCAGGCCTCGGCATGGCTGCGTGAAGCAGCCCTCGGGCCTTGGCTTCTCTTCCCGCTCTCCTCCTCCCTGGTCCCTATCCCTCTGACCAGGAATTCAGCTACTGGGCACCTTGACTCCAAAACCACGCATGTCCTTGGATAGGGGCCCCGAACATTCAAGACCCAGGAAGGGGCCAGGTCCCACCGGGCACGCTCTAACCCCACCACTGGCAGCCTAGCTGGCCTAACAGTCTGGGCACGTTTCACTGGGAACAGTCCCTCCAGGGGGCTACCCTTCTGGGGTGTTCCAGAACCCATCTTTGGGCCCTACAAGGTTGAGGGCCAGACCCTGGGCGGGGATCAGTTTGCCAAATCTCATGCCACCCCGTGAGGACAACTACATGCTACATGCACTACCTCACTGCAGTCAGGGTCAGCGGGCCCCCATCGGGAGGAGGGGCAGTGATGCCCGGACCCTTCCACTAGCAGCACGTGCGAGCCCGACTCGACACCAGTGTCTCTCTCTGCGGAGCTTGTCCCCAGAAACGGGGTGGGGGGCGGGGGGGTGTCAGACTCTCATCAGTGTAGGACAGAGAAATACGGGAGTGGATCCCAACTCCTGCCTTACACCCACCCTGGGGCTGCAGACATGGGGGTCAAGGTCAAGCTCCAACCTGTTTCTGAGTCCCCAGAGACCAGTCCTCCTGTGCGTCCTGCATGGGCACAGCCATGTAGCAAGGGGCTGACACATCACAGCCTCTCGGAGAGGAAGGACAAGATGTGCAGTTCACCTCCCCCAGCTTTTCTCAGGGCCCTCCCCAAGCCCGTTCCCGAGTCACGGCCGGGGCCCCAGCCCCCCAGCCCCCCAGCCCCCCAGCCCCCGACCTGTGCACGAGCTGTGTGTTCTCCTGCTTCAGCTTGCTCTTCAGGTCCCCATTGGTCAGGCTGTCATTCTCCAGTTCTGTCACTTTTTTTTCCAGGAAGCTCACCTGCAAGAGGGAGGCAGAGGTGGGGGTGGAGGAAACCTCGGAGTCCACAGGACCGAGAAGCTAGAGACCGTGGGACAGAAGCCATGTTTAGGGAGCGTGAGGGTCCCCAAGCGTACGTGTCCGCATTATCAGGGCAACCTACCCCCAACTCCTGGGCAAGGACAGGGTCTCTGTCTCCCGAGTCCCCAGATAGCTGCTGGGGGGCTCCCCACAACCCCCGGGGAGCACGCACACATTAAGCCTGTCCTCCACCCACTCAGGACCCACCTTCTCCGTGATGTCGTTGTCACAGGAGTCAATGCTGTCTCGGAACAGGTCCTCAGTGCTACCATCACTGCTACTGAAGTTGCTGCTGTGCATGAGCTGCCTGCGGGGGAGGGGGGGAGGGAGGAGGGGGGAGGTAGCTGCAGAGGCCAGCCCTCCAGGGCCTGGGGTCCACACTGGGCTGTGGGCTGAGAGCACCCAGTATCTTGGGGAGAAGGCCAGGGACTCCTCCAAGGAGGCTGTCCTCACCCAGTCAGGGGAGAAGAGTTGCCTGACCTCTGAACTCAAGAGGTCACACAGCTCAGAGGCCAGCGGAGGGGCCGCTACACCCCTCCAGAGTCCCTGGCAATCCATCACGGCTCCGGCCTGCTGCATCAGCACCCTTTTCGTGCCGGTGTTCGAGCCAGTAACTACCCAGTGACCAGAGTGGGCACATGAGCCCCCGACCACCTCCCTCCAGCTGCAAAACCAGCCACTGCAGGTAGACTGGCTCCACGGTCCTGGCAGAGGGTCCTGGCCTCCTGAGGCCACCCAGCAAGACTCAATTCCTCCACCAAACCGGCTCCCGATGCATCTCTGGGACCCTGGGAACGGGAAGGAGACCCACCCAGACTGTGCAGGGCAGGGGGTTGGGTGGGTCTGCACATGGGTAAAGACTTGCCGGAGGTAAACCCAGCTACCACGGTGAGGCTCCCCCTTCCCGCTCCCTGCCGGGCAGCAGCCAGGTCTCTACCCAGGGCCTGTCCCGTCCCACTCCTGCTCTCGAGCCAGAGTCTGGGCGCTTGCTGGCAGCTCCCAGGGCCCTGGGAGTGGACCCGGGCCAGCGTGCACGAGAACCCGGATCCCGAGATCCAGAGCGGGAGCTTGGAAGTCCCAGGAAGTTAGCTGGGAGGATTTAACCGGGAGCAAAGTGACCAGCTCCAACGGGGCACACTCGTGCCCAGTCTCGGTCAGTGGGATCCCCAGGATCTGCTGGCACAGCTGCCGGCTCCAGGGTGTGGGGCAGGGCACCAACAGCCGTGAGACACGCCGGGTCTCTCGGGGCCTCCCTGGTGCACCTGCCTGGAGCGGAAACAGCTAAGGGTTTGGAGAGGCCGACTGCTCCACTGCCACAAGGGGCAAGGGCGGCCCCTCCCTGTCAGAAGTAGAGGTCTGGTTGCTCTGCCTGCACTCCTGGGGGTCTCTGTTTCCCTCTGTGCATTGGGCACGCACAGGGCACTGGGCACTGGCTGGGTCTGGGCTGCCCGAATGGAAAGGGAGACAGTATTCCACCCTTCCTCCCCAGGTGGGGGGTCTTACCGTCCAAAGGCCGTGCTAGAGATCTTCCGGTTAGGGCTGCAGGGGTGGGGGTGCAGGAGGGAGAGAGAGAGAGAGAGAGAGAAAACAGTCATTGAACAGAGGGGACTCTAGTCCACTCCTTACTCTGCCTTGGCTGCAAGATACCAGTAGGTGCACTACAGGGCTTTGTCCCGCCCGCTGCAGGGAATTCACTAATCAGCTCGGTCCTCAGCAGAAGCACCCTGAGTTTCCTCTTGCAGAAAAATGCAAGCCCCCTAAGATCAATCCCACCCTGACAGGGCCCTCACTTGCCAAGACAGAGCGGGGCTGCCTTGCCTGCCGCTTCCCCCTCTGGACCCACCCCCCACCCCCAGCCCTGGCCTCCCATCCCTCTGCTGGGTCCCGGGGGCCTCACCTGTTGGCCTTCAGGTTTTTCAGTCGGGCTTCCAGGTCATTCAGCAGGTTGATCTTCTTACAGCACTGAGAGCAGTAAACATCCAGCAATTCGCTGTTGTAGGCGTGCCGCATTTTCCTGGGTGTCTGCCCCGCACTGATTCGGGAGACAGAAATCAACCCCTGCTGTCCAATCTGGTGCCCTACCCCATCCTTACTTGACTGGGTTCCCCAATGCCGGGGAACCTTCTGTGTGTGCGCTTAGGGGCAGAGGGAGTGGAAATACAGCAACAGATCCTCCCTCCCTCGATACTCTCAGAGGAAAGGCCAACGAACAGTACCCATTTCACAGACAAGGCGATGGAGAGCTAACATCAGAGTGAGTAATGACTAGGTGTGGGGGAAGGTATCACAGTAGGTCACCTAGAAGGACCCTTCGACACCGAGGTTCTAGGAAGCAAGACAGCACACACCCCTGAGTCTGCAGCCTCCCAGGTGGGCTAATTCTGTTTCTTCCCCAAGCCAGAAGGAGGCGAGAGGAATTCTAGAATCTCCAATCAGGGTGCAAAGGCAGCACCCCCAAGCTCCAGGAGCTGACCCCAGGGAGCTTAGGACTCTGCCCTCTGACCCGCCCTGGGATGAGGTTTGGTTGGTCCGGCCGCTTTTCCCGGGCCCCAAATTGCCATTCCAGACCACAGGGCCACCTGGAAGACACTGAAGATCCCAGGTCCGAGTAAACGTTGGTCCTGGTCTCGTCATCGGGGCAGGGGCTGCTGGGGGCACAGTCCACGTCGTCCCCCTCTCCATAGTCTTCAAACTGCTCCTCATTGCTGATAAGCGAGGTGGTGGAGTGTGTGGAGAGGTCCGATGTGGTCATGGATGGGGCATGGCCCAGGGACCTGGGTGTTACAGAAGGGCTGTCTGTTAACACAGCCCCGTCCACAGCCTGTGCCGGGGAAACCAACCAGCCTTCCTGGAGGTCAACTGGTGCCACAGAGATCAGAAGCCCGAGTGTGTGCTTTCTGACCTGGCAAGTGCACTTTGAGGACCTCATCCTAAGGGAAGTGTCTCACCACAGAAACGGTTTCTGCACAAGAGATGCGCAAACCGATGCTTCTCTACAGCGACAAAACATTGCTTACAACTGAATGGTTTCCCTACATCAAATTAGAATAAGTTATAGTAAGTCATAGTATATGGGGCCTCCTGGGTGGCTTAGTCGGTTAAGCGTCCCACGTTGGCTCGGGTCACGATCTCACAGTTTGGGAATTTGAGCCCTGCGAGCCTGCTTCAGATTCTGTGTCTCCCTCTCTCTCTGCTCCTTCCCCGTTCATGCTCTGTCTCTGTCTCTCAAAAAATAAACAAGTGTTAAAAAAAATTTTTTTTAAGTTATAGTACTAGTATAATATAAAATTATATATTCTATATTGCTAATATTAGCTAATTAAATGATTAAGTTACAGTTGTAAAATTATAATATATATTAGTAAATATCAAATTATGGGTTATCTAATTGTTGAAAGGTCTGCAAAAAATACTAGCAATAATATGGGAAAAACTAATATAAAGTTGGATATAAAATTTAAATACAGAAAGGAAAGGTTGATACAAAATAAGGAAAACTAGGACATAAAAGTATTTACATGGTAACAGAGCTTGGGTTTGGGTGGTGGGACTGTAAGTGAGTTACTCCCCCCACCCCCCGCCATTCTTCCTTTCCTACCTTTTCCAAGCTCTGTTTAATTGGCTTGCATTCTAGTAAGAAATGGAAGTTTTAAAATAAGTTAACAACGAGCTACTAGATGAGGCGCTTCTCCCAGTTTATAGAAGGGACTCACTGCAGAGAACATGGGTCGGAGACCCTAGGCCTCTCATGGGTGACCCACGGTGTGGCCTGTGACAGTGTCCAGGGCTGGCTGAGCCCTGTCCACAACCTGAGAACCGAGCACTGCTTGTCACCTGCCGAAACAGGTCTTCCCGTCAGTGGTTGTGAGGTCAGGTCTACGTATCGCTACTCAGAAATGAGGGTTTCTCTGACGTACTGAGCCTCTGAGCTCAAAACTGGGCAACTTGAACTGGGGACAAGAAGCAGGGAAGTGGGTAAGGCCGTAATTCTCCCACCGTGCCCTTGAGCAGTCCTGGTCTCTGAGAATCACAGTGTTGATGACAGGGCACTAACGAGCAAGTCTGCTGGTACCGCCACCCTGTTGTTGTTGAACTCATTCATCTGCCTTCAGGCTCCTCAGCACCTTGGGATGGATTCATCACATTCCAGCTCTTTCTCCTATACATTTTATTAAAACCCTCAGCGTCCCCTGCCGGCCACCTCCTGGCGACTGGTCCCAAAGAACAATGTGTACGATCAAGTGGCAAATGGTCAGCCAAAAGGACAATGGGTCTGTGGTCCCTGACCAGCTGTCCTTGGTGGCTGGTCACAGTACGGCTGTCACACTGCTCCCAGGAAGCAAAATGGATGAACTACTCCAAAGACCCCACCGAGAACAGCCTGACTCCCAGAGCCACTGGAGCCTGAGAAGCTCTGCCCTGCGAAAATGTATAGGAAATGGCTTTTTTTTTTTTTTGAAGGTCAAAAATGATTAAGAATTGACAATTTCATATGGTTCAACTGATACTAGAACCCCTCTCCTCCCTCTCCAAATCTCTGGGTTGGCCATGACCACCACCTTCCTGTATGTGGCGCTCCAGACAGTTTTAACTCACTTGTCCTCCGGCAGGAACAGGCCCCCGAGCCCTCCGTCCTTCTCCTCGGCAGGACTCCCAACTGACCCCTCCAGGCTCTGCATGCTCTCCATGGGGCTGTCCATGTCTGACTCCGGGGGGCCCTCGGGTGGGGCCAGCGTCATAGCCTCCTCCTCGTCCTCGGGAAAGAAGCTGGGGTCCCTGGGGAGGAGCTCGCCATCAGCAAAGGTAGGGCCTGGCACCTCGCTGCCCTGGGAAAGACAGAGGACAAAGTGAGGGAGGCTGGCTCCCCGGGGCTCAGTGTGCCTCATCAGACCGCGAGGATGTCGGCAGGGCCAGGGATGGCAGGGACTGGGACACAGGCAGGTCCAGACCTCAGGACCATGAGAGTAAGAATACCCGGCAGGTGATTCATCTTGGGCCTCTCACAGCAGCTGCCTCATGAGAGCCCAGTGAGGAGCCAGCACCACCGGGGACAGCCATCCGTGGAGAAGAGCCACAGCTGGGCTGGCTACGTTGCTCAGGACACCTGGACGGCTTGCTCGTCGGGGTCCCCATCACAGCCTGCACAAGGAGCCAGATGGCTTCGTGACTGAGTTAAGGGCACAGCCACAATGAACGGCTACCAAGAACGACGACCCCGACCTAGCGGAGTTTGATGCAGCGGGGTAGAGGGATATCCACGCACCACGGAACCTGCCCTCCGGGACTCTGGGCACGTCAGATCACCTCCGTGAACCTCGCTTCTCTCGGTAAACTGAGAATGACCGTGGAATCCTACAGGATCACTGTGTCACGGGGTAGGACCTCAACGTGGCACCAGCCAGGGAAGGACAGTGTGCCTTGGCCCTGCCGCGGCCGTGCTGAGGAGCAAGGACACAGAGCCCTTCAGTTCCGAGCAGGGGTAGGTCCCCGGTGCCTAGCACACCGCCCAGCACCACGCCAGCACGAGATAAAGACCCGCCTGAACTTTTGCCAAAATCACCTTGTAGGTTATGAGCTCTGGCTCCGTTCTGAGAGGCAGCGCTCCGCAAACCACCCTCGGGGCTGCCGCCTCTGAGGGGGCACTGCTTCCACCTGCTCCTGTCCGAGAGGTCAAACTGCTCCCAAGGATCTTCCGCGTGGCCCGCGTTGAAGGTGCTCCCTGCGGCCCAGGGACTGCAGCCAGGGGAACAGTAACAGAGGCTGTGAAAAGCCCCCAGGCACCCCAGACAAGAACAGGATTGGGGACATCCAAGGAAGGTGGTCAGCGGCAGGCTTGGCTGTGCCCACTGAGAAGTGTGCCGTCACCTGCTGCTGTAGACACCCTGGCCCAAGAATAGATGGCAGTTAATGAGCCTGGCTCCCGCCTGTCCCAGGACTCGGGCGGAGCACCGGCTGCACTAATAAAGCCGGCACCAGGCAGGGAGGCCCCCCTGGCTGTGGAGGCCGAGGGGCTGTGTCATTAAAACTACCCTCGTGTTCACACGGCCCTTTCCACCTGAATGTCACCAACCCAATCCCACAGGGCTCCCGACCGCGTCGGATCCTGCACCCGAAGCAAGCTCTCCGTCCGTAAGCCCGAGGCTGCATCCCAGCAGAAACAAAGGGAAGCCAACGTTTCCCGAGCAGCCACCAAGTTCCGGAGGCAGAGCGGACAGTGAATACGTAATCTTATCTGGGCTTAGGACAGCTCTTCAGAATAGCGATTCTTAGCCCCACTTTACCAACGACGACATGGAGGCTCAGAGAGTCACCTGCCAGGAGTCTTCTAGGCCAGGAGGCGGAGGTCGCCCCACCTACCTCTGACCACCACACGCTCGGTTCCATCTATCGGTCATGCAACCCACGCTCCTAGAGCTTCAGTCTCACGTAGGGACAGATCAGTAATTATGAAGCCCAGGCATTCCACCTGCTGCAGCCCCCATGTGCTGCCCACTTCCGACCCACAGCAGGAGACTCCTCGGCTCAGCGCGGGGAAACTGGGAGAGACGCCAGGCAGGAGGGAGACGGCTCACCGAGGAGGGCCTTGCTCTGTTCCCTCACCTGCGAGCTTTCTGCCTTCCCAGCCATAAGGGCAGGGGAGGGTTGGCACTCGCTGGGAACGCCTGCCTTGTGGCTTACAGGAGTCCTCGGCCACTTCCGGTCCTCACAGCCCTAGGAGTTGGGTCTCCTTTCCCCTCTCATACGTGAGGTGACTTACCCGGGGCCCCGCCGGAGAGAGGGGCAGGGCAGGACTGGACCGGGAGCCGCCAGTGCCCATGCTGTCCTCATAGCCCCGTCAGCAGGGGTCCTGAGGAGGCTGCTGCCCACCGAGCAGAGGCTTGAGGCAGGCAGGGCACCTAGTAGAGACCGGGAGCCATACTCTTCAGGCGTCCGGCTTGGCCTCTGGCTAACTCATGTTTGTCCCCTTGGACACGGAGATACGGAGGCCCAGTTTCTGCCAGGCACTCTGCCCAGAGGCACCCAACTCACCACACGGAAGTGCGGACCACAGCCTCCTCCCACCTGATGTCCCAGAGCAACATCCCCCTCCTGACAGCTGGGCCAAGAGAAAAGAGGGGCCTGTCTCAGCCACAGGTGGGGCAGGAGGCGGCTTTGAGGCCCCCACAGAGGTCACTCCCTCCCAATAAGGCCACCACTTCCTCAGGCATAGTTTTACCCTCTGATCGAGCAGAGTCCACATCTGTCTGGCCTTTTGCACTTGTCGAAGGATCTGGTCTGTCTCCCACACATACCCCCGTCCGGCTCGGACGACAGCCCCGGGAGAGCTCCAGGAGGTGCAGAGGGCAGGGATCGAGGATTTACAGGCTTAGCCTGACGCATGGGGAAGGTGAGGCTCAGCGAGCAAGGGGGGCTGCCGTGGAGCTTCCCCGCTGCAGGAGGCCCTGCTGTGACCCGAAGCCAGGCTCCTGACATGCCACGTCAGGGCCCTCAGCCACCCCTCGCTACATGCGCTCTCTCAACATGCCAGCCTTGTAAAATCAGCTGCCTCCCCACGCTGACACCTTTTCACTGTTTGCCCAAGGCAAGTTAACAATTTCTAGAACCTCAAAACCATTTCTAGTAGCTTTCTTCTAAATTCAAGAAACATAAAGACAAGCTCTCAGAAAAGCTATACCCTGGTTGGTCTGGGACAGTACTGGTTTGGCATCTGTCCCGGACAAAAGGGGCCGTGTCACCCCTGCTACTCCCCTGGGAACATCCTGACCCTGCTCCCCTTCCTCTGGGCCCTCTGGGGAAGGGCTAGGTATAGCACCGGGCCTGGGAGGGGTGCCCCTGGAAGTGGGGACAGCCTGCTCTGATCCCGAACACCTCAGGAAGAGAGGCAAAGCGGGAGCAGGTGCTAGAAGGTGTAACCCCTCACTGGCTTGGAGACTAGGCAGTATGCCCTCCTCAAGAAGCTGGGTCTGGGGATTTACCCCAAACCAGGGGTTTCTGGAGAGATCGGAGAGGCCGGAGGCTGGGAAAACACGCCCTAGGCAGCTGCTTTGGCAGGGCAGGTCGGTATCACCAGTGTCCCCCTCGGCGTCCCCACCCCGTCTCTAGCTGGTACTGGATGCAGCTGGCCCCTGGCTGGAAGTGGGAGCCGGGAGGCACCCAGCCTGCCTGTGGGGCCCCTCTCCAGTGGCAGCAGCAGGCCCTGAAGTCACCCCTTCCTCTGTAGGAAGTCGGCCCAGGCCGAATTCAACAGCTGGTGAAAAGGAGAGGGCGGGAGAGGGCATCCCCGCCTCAGAGGGGCCTCCGGTGCCCACCGTCCACACTTCCAGAAGGCGGCGCGGCAGGGCCTGGACACGATGACGTCGTTTGGTCCTGCCCGTCACCCACCCGGCCCTCAGGGGATGCTCCCTCCAAGCCACACACATCACTACTCCATTCTCCTGGTGGCTAGTGCACGGAGGGCACGGGCCCGAGAGGCCCCACTCCACACTCCCTGTAAGAAGGGACCCTATGGTAGTAACCGTGGGGATGAGAGCACCTGAACCCCCAACAGGCAGCACCGCAGCGAGCACATGGCAGGCAATTAGCAAGTATTTGGGGAAACGAACTGCCCTGCAGAACAGTGAGCTGGGGAGAGCCCACCCACGGCGACCTCGAGGCGTGGGTGCCCATCCGATTGGCCACTGGCCGGCCGTGTGACCCTGGAGAAGTTGTTCGACTTCTGAGCCTCATCTACAGACGGGTAGAAATGCCTGCCCGGCAGGATCGCCATAGAGAACGCAGAACGATGCCTCGTGCCTCACGGGTGCCGGGATCGTGGCAAAGAAGAGAGCGGGCAGAGTGGCGCTGGGAACGAGCTCTGGAGGTGGACCGACTGGGTTCAAACCTCGGCTCCACCACTAAGTTCTGCAACCTTAGGTTTACTTCTCGGTGCCTCAGTTTCCTCGTCTACTGACGGAGTTCACGATGATCAGGAAATGAGTTAGGACGTGTGCTCGGCACACACGGAAGACGATCAACAAATCTGAGCTATTCTGGTTGAGAGGAGACAAGCAGGGGTGCCCCTCTTGGTCCGTGCAGCCCCAGGAGCCTATCGCTTTGACCCCCAGGGGCACACTGAGTGGAGGCAGGCTGGGTTCGGCTTCTGGAAGCCTGAGCTGCAGGTGCCTCTTTCTTTCTGCGCCCTCCCTCCCACCCCCAGGGCCATCTTCTGTGTATGCTCTTGGAAGGTCTCTCTGCACATTAATTACATGCTTTAACACGCGTTAGGATGAGACACTGCGCAGGCGAGGGAGTCCAGGAGGCTGGGGCACATCCACCCCCAGCCCCGGCAGGGGCTCTGCTCGCCAGGCAGTAACTTAGAGCCAAAGAACAGCTCCGTGGGGACAGGGCTGGGTAAAAATAGCTTGAGCGGGCACCTCCCAGCTTCCTTCGCAGCCAGGCACCAGCGGGCACACGTGGAACCCCACTGCAGGAAGGCACTGGGCGGGGGGTGGACACAAACCAAGCCTCGTGCAGTGGGGCTGGGCCGGGGATGAAATCCCTCCTCATAATCCCAGCCAGCCCACGGCCCGGGAAGTGACAGGCCTGCTCGAGCTCTCGCTGGGCCCCACAGGCAAAAGATTAAGAAGCCAACTTGTAGATGCCGATGCCCCCAGCTCCAGAGGGAAGGGGTGGGCTTACCTGGACTGGGATCCCCTACCCCCCACTGCGGCTCAGCCACCCATCAGGCATGGCAGCAGCAGAGATTAGTAAGCAATCCAGGCTGTGCCCACCTCCTGCCTGTGGCTGCCAACGCCCGCACTGAAGCCAGGCCTGGCTCTGCCGGAGG